CCCCAGCACCACATAAGCAAAAAGAAAAAAGCTGGAAGTGGCACTATGGCTTAAGTGGTAGAGTGCTAGCCTTGAGCTGAAGAGCTGAGGGACAGTGCCCAGGCCCAAAATTCAGGCCCCACGATCGCACCCAAAAAATAAAAATAAATAAATAAAAATAAAATAAAGAGTTGCACAGACTTTCCTTCCTGGGCTGGCTTTGAACTTTGAACCTCAGATCTCATCCTCCTAATTAGCTAGAATTACAGCATGAGCCATAAGCACCTGGCTTGGTAATACCATTCTTTATTTTTTTTTTAATTTTTTGTGGGTCCGGTCACGGGGCTGAACTCTGGGCCTGGGCGCTGTCCCTCAGCTCTTCAGCTCAAGGCTAGCGCTCTACCACTTAAGCTACAGCGTCATATCCGGTTTTCTGGTGGTTTATTGGAGATAGGAGTCTCACAGTCTTTCCTGCCCGGGCTGGCTTTGAACCGCGATCCTCAGATCTCAGCCTCCTGAGTAGCTAGGATTACAGGCGTGAGCCACCAGCGCCCGGCAAGTAATACCATTCTTTAGAGAGGAGGTTTTTTTGGATGGAGAATAGCTATCTTCCAGGGACCCATCTCATTACCTGGGAAGAACAGAGTTTTGGCCAATCTTACTGTGATAAGTTACCAGACAGAAAAGAGTCATTTCCATCATTTTGTCACCTGACTCTGAAGCACAGAGACACAACACTGGATGTCCCCAAAGTCATTTTCTTATTACTGGGTGAAGAATCTGAGTGAAGAAGCCAGATGGCACTGGGCAATCAGCATGCTCAGCCACAATGTGAGGTCAGATTTTCCTTCAGACATACCAAGGTCGGATCTGATGCTCACACAGAAAATAATTCATAGAAAATGAAGGATTAAGTGTGTTTGCAAGTGTGATGTTAACATTATAGAAAGCAACTTGTGCTAAGGGTGTGGCAGGGGCTGGGCATGATAAAGCAGGACTTTCCTTTGGCAAAGTCCTTCTTTGGGCACCACAGTTGACAGTCTTGCAAGTACCTGGAGTCCAGGGACCATAGGCAGTTAGGGTGTGTGAGGGATTAGCAGATGGGGCACTGATGTGTCATCTCGGCAGTCCACATATTCATAGCTCTGGAACATCCGCTGCTCTGAATGGCACAGGTAGGAGCAGGTCAGCGAGCCCCTGGAGAGGAAGCAGGCCTTGTTGCCAAGTTGAGGAGGAAAAGGACAGCTCTGGTCTTGTTCTGGTGTCTGGGGGGTGGGGGAGGGAGGGGCAATGTCGCTTCCCTGCTCTGCCAAGAGCCTTGGGATATCTGCTTCATGAATGCTAGCAGTTTTCAGATAGCCTTGGGACTCTCACACCAATCCAGCCAGGTGAGACCTTCAGAGAAGCCTGGACTTGTTATTCCCCAGACCCAATTAAGATTCACATATTTAGCTGGGCACCGGTGCTTATAATCCTGGTTACTCAGGAGGCTGAGATCTGAGGATCACAGTTTGAAGCCATCCCAGGCAAGAAAGGTTATGAGACCAGAGGTGAGAATTGAGAAATGGGAGGATATCACAGCTCTATACTCTACTTACTGGATATGTAAAAGCACATGGTGGACTTTAATTTTCAGCCAGGTACATATTTTGCTGAGAAAGAGAAAAAGGGAACATGGAGGCACATTTCACAGTAAACAGCCTGTCAGAAATCCCAAAGAAGCCGAGCACAAGTGGTTCACCCCTATTATTGTAGCTACTCAGGAGGCTGAGATCTGAGGATCTTGGTTCAAAGCCAGCCGGGGTAGGAAAGTCCATCAGACTCTTTTTTTTGTTTGTTTTTTTTGGTCCGGTCGTGGGGCCTGAACTCTGGGCCTGGGTGCTGTCCCTCAGCTCTTCAGCTCAAGGCTAGCACTCTACCACTTGAGCCACAGCGCCACTTCCGGCTTTTTGCTTATGTGGTGCTGAGGAATCGAACTCAGGGCCTCAGGCATGCAAGGCAAGCACTCTACCACTGAGCCACCTTCCCAGCCCCATCAGACTCTTATCTCCAGTAAACTACTCACAAAACTGGAAGTGGTGCTGTGGCTCAAGTGGTAGAGCACTGGCCTTGAGCTGAAGAGCTGAGGGACAGGGCCCAGACACAGAGGACGGGGCGAGGGGGGGTGGTGGTGGAAATCCCAAAGAAGACCAACAGGTCTCAGTCCTTGCCTTCCATGATTTCACTCTTTTTTTTTTTTTGTCGGTCATGTGGCCTGAACTCTGGGCCTGGGCACTGTCCCTCAGCTTCTGGCTTTTTCTGTTATGTGGTGCTGTGGAATCAAACCCAGAACCTCATGCATGCAAGGCAAGCACTCTACCACTGAGCCATCTCCCAAGCTCCCATAATTTCACTCCCATGCCTTCCCTCTTCCTCTAAGGTAAGCTGCTGGTCACCAGGCTGCACTATCATCTGCCTACCCCTACTTGCTAGACTCTCCTTCAGTAGAAAACAAGACGTTCTTCTTCCTCAATGATTAGGCCCAAGAGCCCAAGATCATATATTGTAAAGATTAACCATATTTTAGCCTGTTTTCATTCCAATCTACATTCAACAGCTGGGAACACTCTCGACCTTGCACATTGCAGTTCTAACCTCAAGGGGGCAGGCCAAACATGGGTTGTAGAATTTGCTAGACAACCAGGAAACCTGGTGGAATTGATGAATGGGTACTTACTATGTGCTCTCATCCTTAATCCTGCTGGCTACTGTGTAAAATATCTGTCAACCAAATGGACACAGAGTTAGTACTAACTTCAGGATCTCTCCCTTCCCATCATCACCACACATCTACACACACTGGGACAGGTCTGGCCAAGAAGGCAGTCATTTACCTGTTCACTTGCCAAAGGGCCAACATGCAGGAAGAGGCTGTAGGAGACCTGCCCGACTATGAGGGACAGGTGCAGAACTTCGATGGTCAGCTGAGTCACAGTGATAGGGAAGTAGTTAGTGTTGGAGATGTTCAAGACATTCTGGAAATGAAGACAAGGAAAGAGAGGAGTTGCCTTCCTAGGAGAAGCCAAACAGTTGATGAATCTTGACTAGTCTAATCTAGTCTAATCTCCATCCTACCACAATGGACTTTAAAGTGCAGAGGACTAGGTACAGGGAAGCTTTTTGAAGGCCTCTTCATTTTATTTATTTGGTTTAACTTCTTGTTGTTGTTGTTATTCTGGTCCTAGGGCTTGAACTCAGTGCCTAGGCACACCTATAACCCTAGTTACTCAAGAGGCTGAGATCAGAGGATCATGGTTCGAAGCCAGTCTGGGTAAGAAAGTCTGTGAGATTTTTATCTCCAATAAATCAACAGAAAACCAGAAATGTTGCTGTGGCTCAAGTGGTAGAATGCTAGCCTTGAGTTGAAGAGCTCAGGAACAGCATCCAGGCCCAGAGTTCAAGCCACATGACTAACAAAAGAAAGAAAAGAAAAGAAAGGAAAGAAAGACAGACAGACAGATAGACAGGAAGAAAGAAAGAAGGAAGGAAAGAAAGAAAGAAAGGAAAGAGAAGAAAGATGCTCTCCAATTTTTCTTCTGTGCCCTCTTCCTTCCTAACATCCCTCCAGGGGAGTTCCATAAGCTGTGGAAGAGGAATCTGAGGACAGTGAAAGGGGGTCATGATTTCTCCAAAGTCCTCTGAAACAACCAAATCTTTCTGGCTCCAGTTGAGAATCTTTTGGTTGAAAAGAGATTTAGCTCTTCAAGTCCCCCATGTACATCTCGGGGAGCTTGTATCTTCTTTCATTGTTTGAGCTGTGCTTCACTAGTCCTGGCTGGCTTTGAGGGGGCTTCTACTTCCATAGTCACCTTTTCTTTCTGTGCAAGCCAGATCTGCTGTTGGAGTTTTCTGCAAGTCTTCCTGGACAAAGCAAATGTCGGCATCAGCACTGGATGCTCACTTTTTCAAGTGACACCTGTGATGCCTTCATCTATCACAGTCCCACCACCTGGTGCTTCAGTAGAGCAGAGGCTCCTAGTTCCAAACCTGCCGGTGCTTGCCCAGCTTCTTCAGCTTCATTCAGGGCTGGTTGTTATTTCCTCCGAGGGAACCCATAATAGCAGAGAGGCTCACTCTTTACCAGGTGCTGATGGCTCAGCTGTAATCTTAACTACTCAGGAGGCTGAGATTTAAGGATTGCAGTTGGAAGCCAGCCAAGGCAGGAAAGTCCCTGAGACTCTTATCTCCAATTAACAACCAAAAGAGCTGAAAGTTCAACTGTGTCTCAAGTGGTAGAGCACTTATCTTGAGCACAAAAGCTTAAGGACAGCACCCACACCACAGCTCAAACCCTAGGACTGACACACATTCACACACAAAGGTATGGCATGGTGGCGAATCCCTGTGGTCTCAGCTACCCAAAGACCAGTGTAGGCAACCAAGCAAGATTAGATTCTCAAAAGAAATGAAGTGTCAAGCTAGGCATGGGTGGCTCATGCCTGTAATCCTAGGGAGGCTGAGATCTGAGGATCAAGGTTCAAAGCCAGGCAGGCAGGAATGTCCCTTAGATTATCTCCAATTAACCACCAGAAAACTGGAGGTGGTGCTGTGGCTCAAAGTGGTAGAGTGCTAGCGTTGAGCACAAGAGCTCAGGGACAGTTCCCAGGCCCTAAGTTCAAGCTCCATGATCAGAAAAAAAAATAAGAAAAAAAAAAAACAAGCTGGGGTGATTCACACCTGTAATCCTAAATACTGAGGAGTTGGGTCAATGACCAGGAATCTTTTTTTCACTCTTCCTTGTAAATCCCAGGTTGGGAAAGCCAGAATGCTTTTTTTGTCAGTCGTGGGGCCTGAACTCTGGGTCTGGGTGCTGTCTCTCAGCTTTTCAGCTCAAGGCGAGCACCCTACTGCTTGAGCCACAGCGTCACTTCTGGCTTTTTCTGCTTTATGTGGTGCTGAGGAATCGAACCCAGGTCCTCATGCATGCAAGGCAAGCACTCTACCACTAAGCCATCTTCCCAGCCCTACAACCCCCCCCCTTTTTTTTGTCAATCATGGGGTTTGACTCTGGCCCTAGGTAGTGTCCTTCAGCTCTTTAGCTCAAGGCTAGCACCCAACCACTTGAGCCACAGCACCACTTCCAGCGTTTTCTGCTTATATGGTGCTGAGGAATGGAACCCAGAATCTCATGCATGCATGGCAAGCACTCCACCACTGAGCTACCTTCCCAGCCCCCAGAATGCTTTGTAATAGCAGCACTGAGTCTGAATTCATTCTCAAAACACCCAATGAAGACAAGGCAGCTGGGTTCATGGTTTGAAGCCAGTCTAGTCAGTAAAGTCCCAGAAAGTCTTCTATCCAGTTAACCACTAAAAATACTGTAAGTGGACCTGTGGCCCAAATGGTAGAGCACTAGCCTTAACTGAAAAAGCTAAGGGACAGTGCCCAGGCTCTGAGTTCAAGACCCAGTATTGATGCAAATATATATATGAACAAATGCTACAGGGAACATGGGTACCCACTGTCATGTTGACTTGGATATTTTCCTCATCAAAGGCCACCACGGAGGAGTTGAGGCCTGCAGGCTCCACATCAACAGACCGGGGAAACAGGAAAAAGATGATGATGGAGGAGGTCACCAGGCATATGAGCATAGTCAGGAACACAAAGAGCTTCCTGTGGGAACGCATGGAGGAAGAGAGGAATGTGAACACCCAAGAAAGATCTTTACATACTTTTCTCTAGATACAAAGTTCTCCCATATATATCCACCCCAAAATTGCATGTTTAGCTTCTTAGCTGTGGTCCAGCATGGGTGGGAGCACAGGATTGGCCGGTAGACACTTCCATTTCCAGCTCTGACCTCATTGACCTAGTAATGCTGAGAAGCCCATGTAATCTCTCCAAGCCTTATTTTATTTATTTATGCTGGACATGGGGCTTGAACCCAGGGCATGGGCATTATCCCTGACCTCTTTTTGCTTAAGGCTAGGGCTCTACCACTTTGAGCCACAGTGCCATTTTCAGGTAGGTGTATGTGTGTGTGTGTGTTTTAAAATGTTTAATTGGAAATAAGTGTCTCTGGGACTTTTCAACCCAGGCTAGCTTTGAACCGCAATCCTAAGATCTCAGCCTCCCCCAGTAAGCTAGTTTTAGAACTAGACTGAATAAAGCACACTACACACGTCCAGGAAAGTAAGGTTTAACGTCAGAGAGACTGACAGGCTGTTTCCATCAGGACACAGCAGCTAAGGGGGTAATTATAGGGGAGTGAACCTGTAGGAATGAGGTAAGGAGTAAACCTATAGGAACAAGGAAGTGGGAGTCCGCACTGTGTAAGGAAAATTGATGGTAAGGGAGTGAGCCGGAAATTGACTGTGAGGTAGTTGGTGTTAGTGGTCAGGCTATGTCAGGGACCCTGAGATGCAGATAGCCTGGTGGAATATCAGCAGCCAAAATGTCAGCCACCACAGGATAACTTCACCACAGCCAACAGCTAGGATTATAGCATGAGCCATCAATGCCTGGCAGTTTCTCTTTTTTAGATGGAGATAGTTATACTTACCTCATAGAATTTGCAATGGTCTAAAGCATGAAAAAATAGTAGGAAAACAGTGTTCCTAGTTCATAGTTAAGAACTCAATGGATAGCTGGATGCTGGTACCTCATACCTATAAACCTAGCTACTCAGGAGGCTGAGATCTGAGGATCACGGTTCAAAGCCAGCCCCAGCAGGAAAGTCTGCGAGACTCTTATCTCCAATAAACCACTCAAAAACCAGAAGTGGCGCTGTGGCTCAAGTGGTAGAGCATTCACCTAGAGCTGAAGAGCGCAGGGACAGTGCCCAAGCCCAGAGTTCAAGCCCCACGACCAACAACAACAAAAAAGAGACAAAGGGCACATGGTCTCCCTGATATGTGGATGCTAAAGCCAAAACGCAAGAAGATATGACAAAGTAAACAGGACTTGAGAAACAAAGGACAGCCACTCATTTTGTCATATCATTACTAAATGACTCCATGTTCTTGACCATATATATGGTAGTTATATGCACACAACAGAGGGAAGACAGGAGGAGGATACAGAATAAGTGGGAAATGGAACAAACTACAACAAAAGGACCCATCAGCTGCACTGGACATAGAAGAAAAAGAACTAAGCAACCCAAAGACAGCGATGGGAAGGGAGGAATGAGAGGGAAAGAGGGAACAGCCTACACTAAGCAAAGGAAAGAAATGTAAACATCCCTTAATGTGGAAAAAATAATTTGTATTGTAAAAGCTCAGAGAATTCACAAACTATATAGACCATGATAATGACAATGTGCCTTGTGAAGGTTAAAATGTGTTTATGACTTTAACTAAGTATCACTATTCCACAATACTGTGAAATATGTGAAATTTATGTAATCACCTAATCTCAATTTTAAAAAAAAAGGGGAGAGAAAAGGGATGGGTTAGGAGCAATGGGTGACAATGTTGTCATACACCTTGTATTCATATACTGTTTTGTAGAATAGGAACTTCTTTCTACAACTACTTAAAGATAAAAATAAATAGTGCCACTTAAAAAGAATGTTCCCGGCTGGAAAGGTGGCTTAGTGGTAGAACGCTTGCCTTGCATGCATGAGGCCCTGGGTTCGATTCCTCAGCACCACATAACCAAAAAGAAAAAAGCCGGAAGTGGTGCTGTGGCTCAAGTGGTAGAGCGCTAGCCTTGAGCTGAAGAGCGGAGGGACAGCGCCCAGGCCAGAGTTCAGGCCCCAGGACTGGACCCCCCCAAAAAAAGAATGTTCCCTAAAATAACTTTTTTAGCTGGAAGAGATTCCAGCTAAATAATGTCTTTCCACAACTTCTGTACTCTGGAAAAGCAGCCAGCAGACAAGAAAAGCAAGAGGAAGAACTAATGGCTGTGGAATTTTCTGAATGTGAATGATAAAGAATGCAAATCTTTGTCATTGAGAAATGAAGTTACTTTGAAAAATGTCTAAAAAAATTATTTGCTGGTCCTGGGGCTTGAACTCAGGGCCTTGGTGCTGTTCCTGAACTTTTGGGTTCAAATCTAGCACTCTGCCACTTGACCACATTTTTACTTCTGGGGTGTGTGTGTGTGTGTATGTGTGTAACTGAAGAGTCCCATGAATTTGTCTGCATAAGGCTGGCTTTGAACTGAGATCTTTAGAACTCAGCTTCCTGAGTAGTTAGGATTATAGGTGTGAGCTACCTGTGCCAGGCTACACATGAGTGTTCTGAATTGTAATAATTAATCAAATTTGATATTCAGAACAGGCTACTATCCCTCTATCTAATTATAAGCAAAACTAGGTGCTGGTGGCTCATGTCTGTAATCTTTTCTACTCAGGAGGCTAAAATCTGAGGATTGTGGTTCAAAGCCAGCCAGGGAAGATAAATCTGAGACTTTATCCCCAATTAAAAATCAAAAGGCAGGGCTGGGATGTAGCTCAGTGGCAAAGCGCTTGCCTAGCAAGTGCAGCGTCCTGGGTTTGATCCCCAGTACCAAAAGAGAAAAGACAAAAAAAAAAAAAAAAAGAATCAAAAGGCAGAAGTGGAGTTGTGATTTAAGTGGTAGGGGTTCAGCCTTTCGTGAAAAAAAAAATCTAAGCAAGAGCACAAGGCTCTAAGTTCAAGCCCTCCATACAGGCACAAAATAACCACAGAACCTCTGATACGCCCAGTTACTCAGGAAGTGGAGGCAGGAGGGTGTTGACTTGGATGCCAGCCCAGACAAAGCTAGCATGAGACCTTATCCCCTAGAAACAAAATGAAAACAGAGTTGGAGGAGTAGCTCAAGTACTCAAGTACTGCCTAGCATTCTCCAAGCAGTGGGTTTAATCCCAGCACTGAAAAACAAGCTATATATACAAAATCGGAGCTATTCACTAGAGTCAGTACTTTGTTAGTATCTCCTGAGGAACACTGCTAGTATCTAATTTTAGTGCAATGTTTGGGGAAGCTGGGTGGTGGCTCTCAAACTATGCTGAGATCCTTGAAGTTGAAAAGATCCATGTCACATGGACCTGGATCACATACAAGATCCAAGTGTGTGATGATCCTCAGCTGCATCTGAGGTTCCCAGTAGTTCCCAGATAGGAAACAGCTGGCTTTCTATTCCCACTGGAAAGAAAACAAGCTGTTCTAAACTACCATAATAAGGGAAAAATAACTTCCCCAAGTAACTGCAGCTAGGACCATGTGCTCTGTCCTGGTAGGATTTGGAGAGGCAGGAGGGAGTTCCTTTCTGTCTTGAAGAGGGAGCCATGGTTCTTGGAAGCAGTGATGGTCTGGAAGGGTTATCAAGTGACCTAAAGAGATAATTATTTTGTCTGATGCTGCTTTTTTTTTAAGTTTGATTTTATTTTTGCTTAACACATAATTGTACATGTTTATATGGTATGATGTCTCAATATATACATATAGTGTGATAATTACCCTATCTATGACATTTATCTCTTTCTTCCTTCAATCCTCCCTTATTCCTCCTTGTGTTTTTCTTGTGCCAGTACTGGGGTTTGAACTTAGGGCCTCTCACTCTTGCTGAAGGCTGGAACCCTTCACTTGAGTATACCTCCACTACAGGCTTCTTGCTGGTTAATTAGAGATAAGAATGTCATAAACTTTTTGAATGGGCATCAAATTATGATCCCCTCAGAGCTCAGCTTCCTGAGTAGCTAGGATTACAGGTGTGAGCCACCAGTGCCAAGCATTTATTTATTGATTGATTGTAGGTCGTGGGGCTTTAACTTAGGACCTGGGCATTGTCTCTGAGCTTTTGTTCTCAAGGCTAGTGCTCTACCACTCTCTCTGAGCCTCAGCTCCACATCTGGATTTCTGGTGGTTAATTGGAGATAAGAATCTCACGACTTTCCTGCCCAGGCTTGCAGGAGTAGCTAGGATTACTGGCATGAGCCACCAGCGGCTGAATTTTTTTTTCTTTTAATGGTGCTAAGAATTGAACCCAGGGCCTCATGAATGCTTGAAAAATAATCTTACTGCTGACCTAAAACCCCAGCTCCTGACCACATTTTTTTTTCTTCCTGGTCCTGGGGTTTAAACCCTGGGCCTGGGCGCTGACTCTGTGCTTCTTTTACTCAAGGATAGCGCTCTACCATTTGAGCCATAGTACCACCTCCAGCTTTTTCTGAATAGTTTATTGGAAATAAGACTCTCATAGACTTTTCTGCCTGGACTGACTTCAAACCACAATTCTTAGATCTCAGCCTCCTGAGTAGTTAGGATTACTGGTACCTGTCTATTATCTTTTTTTTTTTTGAGAGAGAGAGTGGGTGTTTGAGACAGGGTCTCACTAGGCTGGCCTCAAACTCAATCCTCCTGCCTCTGCTTATCAAGTTCTGGGATTCCAAGTACTGTATATATCACTATGTCCAGCAACACTACTATTCTTTTTCTTTTTGGTCAGTTGTGGGGCTTGAACTCTGTGCCTGGGAGCTGTCCCTGAGCTCTTCAGCTCAAGGCTAGCACTCTACCACTTGAGTCACAGCGCCACTTCCGGTTTTCTGGTGGTTTATTGGAGATGAGTCTCATGGACGTTCCTGCCCGGGCTGGCTTTGAACCACAATTTTCAGATCTCAGCTTCCTGAGTAGTTAGGATTACAGGTGTCAGCCATCATCACCTGGCTCCAGCACTATCATTCTTTCTTTGGTTGTTTTGGTTTTTTCTTTTTTGGTATTGGGGATTGAACCCAGGACGTTGTACTTGCTAGGCAAGTGCTTTGCCACTTGGCTACATCCCAGCCCTAGCACTATCATTCTTTTTTTATTTTGGGGGGGGCGGGGGGTCTGGTCATGGGGCCTGAACTCTGGGCCTGGGCGCTGTCCCTCAGCTCTTCAGCTCAAGGCTAGCACTCTACCACTTGAGCCACAGCACCACTTCCCGCTTTTTTCTTTTTGCTTATGTGGTGCTGAGGAATCGAACCCAGGGCCTCATGCATGCAAGGCAATCGCTCTACCACTGAGCCACCTTCCCAGCCCCAAAGCTCAGGGTTTTTATAGAATAAATTAGAAAGAATCCAAACACAGCACACACACTAGTAACATGACCACCAAGGGTGATAGTCTGTGGAGATGAAGGAAGAATTGTGGCTCACGTGCGCCTGGGTTTCAGCCTTTTGTCCCCATAGGGGATGAGAGCCACCAGCTGCTTCTCCAGCTCTGTAGAGAGAAAGAGGGTGAGAGGAGGACCAAGAAGTGTCCATGACAAATGTTTCTTGTGCTAGTCTCACAGAAGCACCTCTCCATATAGAAACATACTACTTCTATCCTAGAGCAGGTCTGGAATACTGGGCTGTGCTATGAGTTAGTAGCTTTGACCGAGAATAGAAATGAGGTTTCCATTACCAAGTCTGAAGAATATATGGAAATCTCTAGCAAATCAGATACCCCCAGCTTATTTGAAGAGATAATTTGTAACTTTTTTTTTTTTTGGGT